ACAGAAAGAGGAATTCTCTTTTTTTTTTTTTTTTTTTTTTTTTTTTTTTTTCAATGAGAGGACTCTGGAAGCACAGATCCTGCTGTGCAGAGCCATCACATTCCTTCATGAGAACAACCTGGTAGGAATCAAAAATCTAAGGAACAGCAAATAATTATTCCAATAAAGAAATTACAAAATGCTACAATAGTTACTGAACAACACTCATTTCATTTGTTCATCCTTGCGATGTTATTTAAAAAATAAATAGATGACCTTTTATTTTTCAGAAGCCCCCACCATTCCAGCTTCCTGATGCTTAGTCTTGCAAAACACTTGCCAGCAGCAAAAATTTTAAGTGCCTTTGAGGATCAGCGCGGGCATGAAAACGTACCACAATTCCTCAGCATCCCTTAATAACCTCCACGTCTGAGGTTAGACTCATTTCACAGCCCCCCCGCTTCAGCCGTGTTCGCTGGCGTCTGTCCCTCAGCCCCCGCCGGGGGTTCATTTCACCACGGCCTGGGCGTGGGCGTAGGAAGAGGAGTTGGTCTCGAAGTAGCACTCCAGCTGCCCGCAGAGGGCCTTGAAGGTGGGCCGCCCGCCCGCCTCCGCGCTCCAGCACTGCAGCATCAGCTGGTAGAACGGCGCCGGGCAGGTCTCCGGCTGAGGAAGTCTGTACCCCGTGTCCAGCAACTGGATCACCTGGTGTCCTGGCATACCTGCAAGGCGAAAGGAGTTCGTCAGACTACTTGGGGTCTACTTAGTGACACCGCATGTCCCTATCTCTTACTGAGACGAGGCAACGGGATGCCCCCCCGTGAGGTACACGTGCACGCTGAAGGCGGAGCTGGCCTCAGCAGGCCGCCTTCAATGGCAACAGGCCACAGGAGTCACTGGAGGATCCCAAACCAGCAGTTAAAAACCACCTCCAGCATTTCCCAGCCCTCTCACCCCGACTGTGCCACCTGAGAGGCACAGCAAATGGGTTCGTCTGGGTGTGAGGCTTTTCCTCTGCCACTCGGGTTTGCCGAAATTTTTCTGACATCTATTTCGCTTAAATTGTTCCTAAAGCCCTCTAGTCTCGGTGACTCCAAAATCTCCCAAGAAAATCTGTCCTGCTGCTGAATTTTCCTCACATATAGAAAGTTTTCCCTAACGTCAGCCCTAAGTTTCCTCTGGGTGCAGCTATGCGATGGCATCCTGCCTGCTCTGTCACCACAAGTCACGGAGAAGAAACCATTCCTGTAGCTTTGCTATACCTTTATATGTTAAGACTATTGTCCCGTTCCCTTTCAATTTTCTACTCTTTAAATTAAATCTTGAATTGCATAATCTTTATTTTTTTTCCCTAGATCTCTGAATGGTGTTTCCTCTGTACTTTACCCACTGGCACCATGGATCAACATAACCTCTTCTAACTGATTACTGAGGACAAACTCCTGAAAGTAACACCAAGTAAGCGAATAGCCATGGCAAAAGGACATTTTCTACTGTAAAGTTACAGGTAAACTATGTCTTTGCAAAGGGATAACGCTGAACATATTTTCAGACAATACCAAGAATCATGGTGTTACATATCATTTACACTTGAATAGTTTATTTATGTGTGTGTGTGTGCATATGCACACACCTATAGTTTATATAAGAAAGAGTTGAGGATTTTTGGCTTTGGTTTTCTTTTTTATTTTTTTTTTTTCCAGAACGGTTTCACAGGGGGTGAGGGTGGGAATCAAAAAGCAAAATCAATTTTTCCTTTTACAGGAAATACCAGTTTGGGACCCTGAGAAATGTAGTTTATGGTGAACGCACCACCCCTCAGGCCTGTACAGATGCAGCATAACTTTTTTTTGCTTTAGTCCTTCCCTTGCGTTCTCCTCACCAGCACAAAATGAGTCACAGTCAATCATCTCACTGATATCTTGTGTTATTGGAGCCGCAGTTCCTTGAGCATTTCTCACAGTGCTAGGAATAATAGCTGCTCTCATACCATTAAATCTACTTTTGAGGTTGGTGACATTTTATTCTTAATTCTTGTGATCCTTCTCTTTATGAAGACTTTCCACTGCAATAGTCAAATGTGAGGGAAGGGAGTAAAAACACCCTGATTCATTTTTCAGACACCTTCCTCCTGAAGTGCCTGTGCAGCACTTCACACATAATAATCTGTTCTTCCATGAGATATCCTCAAAAAAAAAAAAAATTAAAAAAAAAACAAACAAGGGCAGGATGGGGGACAGAAAAACCTTCCCTTTTCCACATTCCAAGAATTGGCATCGTTGATCTGATGCTGGAAGGAAATAACCACTTGGCTTAGGTGCCTGTGCAATGCAGGTTGACTTCAGCGAGAGGAAGCTTGAATGGCTGCTAATCACAGCCTCTGGAAAGCTTCCAGGGAGCCTGGGGCAGCCAGAAGGTCTGACCCACTAAATGGACCTCATCTGAACAGCCTTCTTTCTGTATTTACAGTTTTAACCCTTTAACATGCCCATAGTACAGGCATTCAACTTTTTTTTGTGTCGTTCTTAAAGCAAGAAAACATTAGATGTCATTCTTTAGGTAAAAGCACTTACCAGCATAAGGCATCTTCCCATAGGTGATTATTTCAAACAGAAGTATTCCAAATGACCAGACATCTGACTTAACGCTGAATTTGTTGTAGCGGATTGCCTCCGGGGCTGTCCATTTCACTGGGAGTTTTGTTTCAGGCCTAGCTTCATATACGTTTTCATTTTCTACCTGTCATGGGTAAAATGAGGCAAGCCTGATTTCAGATCTGCTTCAGCAAAGCACTTAAGCACCTGACTAAGCTAAGCACGTGCTTAATCTTATCCTCTTTTAGCTGAGCGCTTGCCTTTCATGGTATTAAAACACGCACTTTCTGAAGTCTATTGTTGAATTGGGCTTCACAGTTGAGAAATGCTACCGTTCATCGGAGGCTTTTCTAAAGCATTTATCATTTCAAGCGAGCACACAGCGTTGGAGTGGCTCGTGATTAATTATGACCTGCTACTGTGAATTCTGGACCTGGCATGCAAGATTTCAAAAGTCTGTCAGGAGTGGCAGTGTAAACATCCTGCAGACACTAGAGACCAAATGGTTCCATGTCTGGTCTTCAGTAAACAGAGAAGGCAAGAGCAAGAGCTAATGAATTTCGGAACCTTTCTTCTGTGATTTATTGCGGTGTTGAAGGGCCATTGACTTTGATAACAATCACTTAAGCAGGTTTCAGGGACCAAAGAACAAACTCCAAGTGATTCAAATTAACATATTAGCTTACAGCAGGTCCAATTAATTCATGTAAAGTGAAGATGAAAGACACAGAGAAAAATTATTTACTTGCAAATTTGTAGAATCATGTCCTTAAAGTTTTATAGCACAGACATCTAAACTTTGTGAATATTTATTCTCTCTTTAATTCCTAAACGCAATTTAATGCGCATCAGTCACAGCCAAGCCTCGGTCAGGTTTTTCACATGCAAATCCAGGCAAATGTGTACAAGATTTTGTTTGTTTGATTCTTTTTAATACAGAATGTATGTTTCACAGCTGTAATGCCCTATAGTTTTGAAAAGACTGGTTGTTGGTGTTTTGTATCTACATACTGATACCGTTGGCATCTTGACCATAATACTCATCTCTAGAAACAAGAAATGATTTAATTATGCTAATTAAGGCATACAGAAATACAGATTTCATTTCTCACACCTACTCCTTTGGGATCTTTGCATGTGACCATGTTAGTGCTTTGGCTTAGGAGACAGAATATTCCTAAGAAAGTCTGCCAAGATGACTCTATGATAGAGTATTTTAGTAAAGTTCAGTTTTAACAAGAAGTGTCAACAGCTGTAAATTATTACTCTCTCTAGTGAGGACAGAGAAGAAATATCCATTGTAAGCATTGTTCATTTAAAAACACATATTTTTCATGTTAAAAAATGTGCAATCTGAACTTATGCATAACTAGAAGAATCAAAATTAAGCAAAAAGCACTTTCGAAGTCCCTTGATGCCATTGTCAAGCCATTATTCTATACTTCAGTATGTAATAAATCCAACTCTGTTATGAACTTCAATTTCTGCTGCTTGAATGGAAAAAAACAAACGAGAAGCAGAGGGCTTTTTTTCTCTGTTTTTTTCCTTCTCAGTGCAAGAACATAAATCAATAAAAACAATAATAAGACCTCAGAAATTATGGATTACATATTGAAATCCATAAATATGGCAAATCAAATCTTTCTAACTCTGATCAAATAATTTTCAGATGTAGGAAATCTCATTTCTAAACCACAGCTCTTTCCTAGGATGATCTTGGTCAGCATTACTTGGCATTCCACATCCTCAAGGGCTAGAGAAAAAAAACAGTGCAATGGCAAAGAACTTGAAACTGCATCAGATTTAAAGCTCTGAGAATTCACTTTATGAACTCTGCTATTAGTCGTGGAGAGCAATAAGGTCCTTTTATGATTACCATCTGCACTCGCAAGCATCATGGAGGCAGTGGGGAAGTGAACAAGGAGAAAATAGCTGTCAATACATTTTTATATGCCTTCCCTTACAGGCTCAGGAGTATAATTTTGCCATCGTTCCTGTGATCCCTCTCCATGTGGCAGACACTAGTGTTGTGGATAAAGGTTGTGCAGCAAAGGGTACTGCTTGCCAGGGTCCTTCCTTGGTGGCTGCGTGGGAAGCAGACACCAGGATGCCATCTTCAGACTGACACAAAGGCACAGGCCAGCTTCTAACCTTGCACGGGATAACACAGGGAGAGGATACAAGTGAACACGTTATGGCTCCTTTTCTCCCTGGGCATGCCTTTTGCCTGAACCCAGCAATTCAGAGGCTACAGTTCGTCCTTTAGTTGACCTCTTCCACCTCGTTCCCCAGAGTTAAAGTAGAGCCGATTCAACCTCTCACAACCCACCTTAAAAACTCTTGCAAGTCCAAAGTCTGCCACTTTGTAAACACCGTGTTCACCAACAAGAACATTCCTGGCTGCCAGATCCCGATGAATATAGTTCTGAGATTCAAGGTAAGCCATCCCGGAAGCCACCTGAGCAGCCATGTCTACTTGATGTGGCAGGAAGATTTGTGAGCCTGCATCTTCTGTTTAAAAAGAAGATGGCAAGGATAACATAATATTTACGGTATTCGAGTATAAATAACGTAACATCTGATTGGTTCAAATAGCCAACACAAATCAACAAAACCATGCAATACAATAAAGTAACAGCCTGACCAAATGACAGAAGTTGGTGAATGACACTACTTAAAGTCATGCAGCTAGTTTCACAATAACTGAGTAACAATGCCTGTCCCATCTTCTCAAAAAGAGCAGACACAGTGCAGCAGTTGATCTAGGCCTGGAAGGAGCTTCTGACACAGTCCAAAGAAAAAGGCGTTTATCTACCGATAGTAATGCAGAGGTTTGCCTTTCTGACAAGTGCATAACGCATTCCAAACTGTGAGTAAAAGTTAATGTCAGTACTCACTTGGTGTAGCCAAAGCTGACTAAAGATGGAAAAGCACAAAATTATGCTGGTTCCCTGTTCTCCAATGATTCTTGCTAGGAAATATACCATCTGCTGTCAAGTATAACTCTCATTTTCACTTTCCAGTCCACTTGACTGCTTCACGTTATCTCTGTTGCTGCTACTCAACAGTAGGACTCCTTGAGCTGCTTTCAAGCTGCCTGCTTCTCTTGTAGAACTTTCTGAAGCAATGTGCATGCCATTCCCACCACTGTAAGATCAGCAAGTCCCAGAAATAGACATTTGGCAATCAAAGATCAGCTGTTCAAAGTAGTAGAAGGACTTTGAGCAGAGCAACTTCCCTCCACAAATGAAGGAAAGAGCCTTAGGCCATGAAAAACTGCAGCCAAAAATAGTAAGGTACTCAAAAAAAAGTCATTCAGGTATAACACATTAGAATTCAAACTCAGGGCCTTTGTGGCATTTTGGGGACAGCTGACATCCTCATAGCAAAGAATTTATATCCCAAGGTAATCTAGGTAAGCCAAATCAGTGTTATAGCCAAGCATCACTGTCACCCAAACCCAAATGCTGCAGCACTGAGGCATGAGTGCCTACCTCTGTAGCCTCTACTACTCAAAACAGTTTCAACTTTCTGTTTCAGAATCTTAACAATGTCAAAAAGCTGAGTGTTTGCTGCTACGTTTATTGGTAGTTCTCCTTTCTCATTGAGGATGGTGACTTTTCCTTACTGCCTCTGTGTTAGAGAAATAAAACATTTGTAGCCAGCAGTTTTCTGTTGCTTATTTTGAATTCATTCATAGTGAAAGTGTGTCTTAGCATTGTTTTGCATTGCCTGCTCCAGTTCTGGCATTTTATCTGACCTAACCTCGCAATCACTCCCTATGAAGAGTGTGAAATTCCATTGTTTACTAATCTATTCTGCAATCTCCAGGCCTTGAATTTCCCTCATCTGGATGTTCTGAGATGAATAGGTAAAAGAAATTAATTTCAAATGATTAAATTTGCCCTGTATGCGTATTGTCCTACTTCCTTTTTGAGGCTAAACTCATTGTCATGATAATCCAGCACTAAGATTATTTACTTCTATTGTTGACTCAGAAAATCTTTTCCTCTCCCACACATATGTTTAATAGCTGCCTTGATCTTTACAAGAGAGAGGGAGAAAAATCAGGCTATGTGAAAGTCTATGGCTTAACCATCAAGAAAATCCATCATCAGGCCACAGAATAATATAACACTCTGAAGTTTTGCAGTTCTGATAACGGGCAGACATCAATATTTATTATTCAGCTTGCTGGACAAAGATATAAATCCGCAAATGATGCTTATGTTGTATTTAATCAGAAAATAACTAAGTATGTACAAGTACCTTGCATGAGTACCTGGGTTTTGGAAACTAGCTTATGGGACTCAGTTTAAAATCCCTCTCTCCGTGTTCCCTTTCATACTGCTCCTTCATCTGCACAGGCTGTGAACTACCTCCTGCTGAAGGCAGACAAGGATGCAGACAGGCTTGAGCACAGGTTTGTCATTGCTCTGCCGATGCTCCCAGGCTGGCCTGACACAAGCTTGCTCCAAGAGCAAAAACGGATGACTCATAAGCCTCGTGTTTAACAAGCTGTTTCAGTGCAGAATAGGAGTTAGAGCTCCTAAACCCTCCCTGTCTTATTCCCTGCAGGAGACACAGGTGCACTGTGTTAAAGGACAAGGACGAGATCCACCTCTAATGGTGGAGTTGCCGCTGAAAGACTATTTCTTCCATTGGGGCCTGCTTGGGATCCCAGACCACGCTGACCTACTGCCTTTAGCATGTGGGCTGTGGGAGGGGAAGAGGCCACCATTGCCCTGGCTGCTGCAGTATTTTTTGGAGGGTTTCTCTCTGTGAGCTGGTTCTGCACTGCTGTTGTTCTGGAGCTAAAGAAGGGAAAGCTGTAAGGAGGAGCCTCAGCTGATTAGGAGCTGCGAACTGTGCACAAAGATGAAGCACAAGCCTCTTTGGGATCGGAAGTGCAAATCATGTACGGTTGTCTCTCAGAGATTTCTGACTATACTTCCAAAATCCCAGGTTGGGCCAGTCAAGGCATGCAAGTTCAAGCACAGCACTGCATTAGTACAAGTACAGAGTTTTTCAGACCAGAGCCAGCTCCCATCTGGCTGGTTGAGAGCAGGCCGGAAGAGTTTCCAGCTGTATTCAGATGGGTATACATGTGCTTTAGTTTGGTTTAAAGTGTTTTAAAGAAGGAAAAACTACAACAAAAAACCAAAGTTAACATAACTTCCACGCTCAAAACCAGGCACTACTGGTGAATTTATAAAACCTTCCTATGGCTTATTCTTTATCCTATAGAGAAAATGCAGCACCTCCACATCCTTTTTTACTAATATTTTTTGACAAAACTATCGCCTTTATATGAAAAAATTATTAGAGAAAATATTAAAGAAGGCTTAGGGTCTGCACCCTGTTCTAAGCAATCAATCACAATATCTCATATAGGAAAGACAGCAAAATATTCTCATTGACAGATGCCTGACAATAAATAAATAAATAAATAAGCAGCATTTTCCCCAGTTGAGAGCATTGCCTCCGTAATAATTCACTGAACTTCAAGACTGCGTCCCTGCCAGAACAAGCCCCAGGTCTATCAGAATTGATAAACACACTCATGCATTTATGACAATTTCATTCACATCCAATAACAAAGAAAAGTTTTCAGCTGCATTTTTCTCATGCTGGTGGCAACTCAGTAACTCTGCGTAGCAGTGTTCATCAAGAAGTATCCCAAAGTACACTCACAGGGTGCACAGCGAATTCACATGCCCATCATTATTAAGTAGCTGCCATCACGGTGGAATGCAATAGTCACTATGCATGAAATATTAGGGATTTTTAAAGCTGGAAAAGCATACCATGCATTTCTAGGAAGGGAAATTTAACCAAAGAGTGATCTCTGGACTTTCCCTCTGTTCCAGTTTGCCATATTTACCCATAGTGCACACAGAGATAGCAGCCTTTTGGAAATGTTTTCCTGGTTCCTGCAGTGGCTGGGGCTCAAGATTCTTTCTCGGGGGCGGGCCCCGGCCCCCCAGCCGATACAGATCACTTCCAGTCACAGAGCTCTATGCAAGCTTCAAATCTCTTTCCTTATTACACTGATGGCAGTGGCTTTTCTCTGACCAATACCTATCAAAGCACCTAGATCTCTGCTTCCACCTCTTAATTCTGTTTATCCCCCTGTGCATAGGCCATCAGACGAGGAGAGATACCACTAGACTAGAGATACCACTAGACTGGGTTTCAACTGGCCATTTTTACGGTTATCTTGACAGCTGCCTGGAAACCAGCTGACTTTCCACAGTCTCTCTGATGCAGGGCTACAGGAATGAGTGCTTAGGCAAAGATCAGGCTGCATACATGCGCTGCCTACAGCAAGGGCAGCTGCTGTGCATATGCTGGCAACTGATCCACACACAGGCTGCAGCGCTGGTGTGTCCTGGACGTGTTGCTCTCCGTGCACAAACAGGCCAATTTTCACCTCTGCAATAGCCGTGACTCATCCTGGCTTTCTCAGAGCTATTTCTCCAGTGCAATATATGTTTTCATGCACAGCAATCATTTCCTGATGTGCCAGGCTCTTTCAATCAGATAAGCAGCAATCTGCACACAAAGGCACTGAAGATGAGAATTTAAAGGAAATTTGTGCCTCGCTACTTTTGGCTACTTAAATGCCTACAAAACTCGAGATGATCCGGCCCAAGCTTCTTGCAGCCCCTCTCTGTGCAGTTCCTGGTGGGGCTGTCTCTCTACCAGAGATTCCTTTAGCTGTAATCGTCCCTGGACTGAGCCTCACCTAAAAAATAGTTCCACAGAGAAGATGGGGGAAGGCATGTGTCATGGTAAATACTGTCTGTGGTATTTCACAGGGCTTTGCCTTAAGGGCTGGAGACAGAGGAGAAATTTAGCAAGACAATCGCAGCGAACATTTTGTCTTCAACAGGTCATTACAGCTTTAGAGACATTTAGCATCTCAGAGACATCTGCTAAACTGAAAATGGGTAACAACACTAGAATCAAGCATTTCTCAATAGCAGGGGTGAACTTAAAGTGCAATCATTATGCTAGTCTGTTCCAGGCTGTACAACTTTATTTTTAATTATTATTTGCCTTCAAAAGAGCACTTTGAAGTGCTGCTGAGATAAAAGCCCTGATGCGATAGGCAAGGGACAAATTCACAGTGAAAGGCTATCCCTGCCTATTAATAGATTTCAAAGCTCTTAGGCACATTTTGTGGAAGTGCCTCTATTTCATGTCAAATATGATGACCTATCCTTCTGTATGCTTATATTTTTATTCTGTCAGTGTATGTTCCCATCTACTCATAGAACTGGGTGGAAAAATATGGGTCATTATATGGCAAGAATCAAACTGTGAATGTGATTCTCCCCTATTTCTCAAATACTTTGGCACGTCAAAAATTCATAAACCTCTTTCTTTCCTCTTTTCTCATCCCCACACGTGACAAATAATGTAGCTTTTTTATTATACCAGAGTGTTGTACTTCTATCTTTTATGTTAGTGTATTTACTAAACCGACAGCTGTGGCACCCCTTAAAATGAGTTTATAGTCATTTGCTTACTTTGAAGGTATTCTAGAAGACTTCCATATCGCATCAGCTCAGTAATAATATAAATTGGGTCCTCCAAAGTACAGACAGCATAAAGCTGTATAAGCTTTGGATGTCTCAAGTTCTTCATTATTTGTGCTTCCCTCAGAAAGTCCTTTGGATCCATTGAACCTGAAACAACAGCATATAACATAAGCTGAGGTTATTAAAGGCCTTCGTACCAGCCTGGCAGTCTTAAGGGAATAACTGAGATTGCTTTCTGTCTTTCAAAGTACATTAGCATCTATCCTGGTTTAACCCAGCAGGCAGCTACCACGCAGCCGTTGGCTCACTCCACCCCAGTAGGATGAGGGAAAGAATCGGAAAAAATGTAAAACTCGTGGGTTGAGATAAAGACAAGAAAAGGAAGGGAAAATAATAATAATGATAAAAGAATATACAAAACAAGCAATGCACAGCGCAATTGCTCACTACCCACTGACGGATGCCCAGCCAGTTCCTGAGCAGTGGCCGTGACCCCCTGGCCATCTCCCCCCATTTTTTTCAGCTTCTTGTGCACCTCCAGCCTCCTCGCTGGCAGGACAGTATGAGAATCTGAAAAGTCCTTGACTTAGTGTAAGCACTGCTCAGCAACTACTAAAACATCAGTGTGTTATCAACATTATTCTCATCCTAAATCCAAAACACAGCACTGTACCAGCTACTAGGAAGAAAATTAACTCTACCCCAGCCGAAACCAGGACAGCGTCTTAAATCTTCACAGTTCCCACAGAAAACAGACAGTGCAGCTGAAATAAACAGTTAATGACTGAAACATACCAGTTGTGCAGGGACAGAGAACACGTGTTCCAGCCACCAGAAATATACAGGCTAAAATTAACCTCCCTCAGGCCTCCCCCAGGCAGAAAAAAGTGAGGCTAGACTGTTAGATGATATAATTTAAGCAAACAATCATGTTACAACTGGTTAACGAAATGGCCAGAAACTGAGGTAAGAGTGCCTAGGTAATGAACATAAAATTTCTGACAGAAAAATAGTGCGGCAATAAGAATTTGTTGCACTATTTTTTCTGCTTCAGCAATCAAAGCCTGAAAGCACTGAAATCACTGTAGCATATAAGGAACGGATGTGTGCATTTTAGATACATGAATACAAATAAGTATTTATAATGTTCACATAAAATACAAATATATATATAAAAATATTCTCATAGTGATCTGGAACAACCTTATTAGAAATACCAATGTATGCACAGATGTAACAGTAATTTTACACTCCCTTAAATGCAGAAGTATCTTAACAGTTAATGATCCAAACTTTGTAAGTGTTACATAAGGTCATAATATCTCTAGTTCTATTCATATAGCCAATGAGTCAATGCATAAACTATGTCAAAGAAACAATACAGAAATGGCACAGGGAACTAAAGTCAGTGCAAATTTAGAAATTTAGGATTAGAGCTCATACATCCTGAATAAGGGACTGATTAGAAAAAAAATCATGTACAAATAAGGAAGAAAAGCTTTCTCTATGGATGATCCAGTAGCGTTCAGATATTCTCAGATGTTTGACGAAGATGGTAAATAACATCTACTTCACAATACTTGTACAAACAAATGTGAAATTATCCAACTAGTCAAAAGTTTCCTTCCTCCCAAATCAAAATAGTTTCATTAAGAAAAGATTATAGTGAAAGTTTTGGGAAAAAAAATCTACCCAAGTCTAGTCTGCTCTATGCCATGTTCAAAAAGACTCTTTTCTTAGTGTAAGCAGACTGAGTCATTTAAGAAGCCAAGGCTGCAGGAGTAAGAGTCTTTATTTTATGTTTTTTAACATTAGGTAACCGACAAGGTTCATTTGGGAGTTTGGCTTTGTTCCAAACATGGATGTTTAAATGAAGTGAAATGCTGGGAGGATGCTAAATGGATCCGCAATAAAACTCCACCAGAAAATCTGTTCTACAGAATGAACTGGCAAATCAGCCTGGGCCACCTTCACCCAACACCTGCCTTGAATGCTGTCCCCTGAAAAGTGCTCCAACCTATTTCCCAAAACACAGCAATGATGTACATCAATGCAAGAGGAATTACTCAGAAATGCTTCTGACATAGACTTCTGGCAATGCTAACGCTATGTCCTTTTCCTGTTTAGAGCAGCACAATCTTTACAGCTTTATTTGAACTTTCCACCAATCCTAGATTTCAAAAAAAAGCCTAGGGTTATCTTTAAAGGGTTTGGACTCACTTTGATACTGGTTTAATATTGTGGTCCATTTGCTTACTCTTTTCAAGATATATGCATTTGTCGTGGAAATCATCCTAAAGTCCACAGAGAAGCTGCATGGTGTGAGGAATTCTGCCTCTAAAGGTAAATGCATGAGCATGACTAGTGATTTAGCATTGGTGCCGAAATTTGACATGTTGATCCTAAAAAGGATAAACTATTTGCTAACTTGGGGTCTACCAAATCACCTGCCCTCTATGTATCATTATACAGGATTTCTTCACACCATAGAAAATGGCAGTCTGATTTGTTCCCATCATCAAAGTTTGCCTACAAGGAATCTCTCAGTTTAATCATGTTACAAACTTCTTCCAACAAACTGAAACCAAGCAACATGTTTTTCACACATGACAACTTCCAATAAATTGATCAGGAGGGAAGTATTCTATTAGCTGAATAGCAGCAAATCCTTTACGCTGTATAAGTAATTAATAATAATAACTATAACAAACCAGTGATAAAGATCAATAAGTATTTCCTGCATATTTTAAAGAGCATATGTAACCTTCAGTTTTACTTAGTTTATATCTTTTTATCTTTAAATAACACAAGTAGCAGATAGTGACCAAAACCCCCCAGAGCCCCGTAGCTCTTATACTATAGTTAATAAGTGGATTGGATGCTAACTAAAAAAAATAAAAAGTGTCTTTATCAGTGTTTTGTCTAAAATTAGGTTTTGGCAACTAGATAAGCAAAGTAAAAACTGCCTCTAAAAACAAGCGAACATGCTAGTTACAAATTAGTTAGATAAAGCCTGTCACAATAGTGGCAAAGCAGTTATGATACATTTCTTTGAGGAACCTTATATAAATGAAATATATAAAATATATGCCATATGGAGTTTCAAATAACTGGGTTTTTTTAGTTTGTAGTTGAATTACATGTGTTTTTAATGAAGTATATGTTTTCAGCTGTAAGTGGTAAACACAGTGTGAAAAGCAGATTACTGCAAGTGACTGATCAGTACCTGAAGAAAATACGGTTCTGATAATTTGTTTTTTGAATGAAAAATGTTTTTGTAAATGTCAAAGTCCTTGTTAAGAATAAAATGTTGAAACATGTTTCTTTGATGTGCTCTATGATGTGCTGCTTTGCCAGAAATCACTTCTAATTTAATTTATTTCTAAAAATATTTTTTCTAGAATTAAGGAAGCTTCACATTTTAAGATAAACACTGATAATTTGGAAATGAGTTAGAGAGAAAGGTCAGGGTTTTTTATGTAGTTTCCACTGGCCTAAATGTAAGTGGCCCTTAAATATTTGATAATCCCCTCCAGAGACCCTTTATTTGCAACTGTCAATAAACATTCCCAAATGACTTCAAAGTAACCTCGTACTTCAGAGCAACCTTGCCTTCTGAATAAGTTTATACAAAATGAATTTATGTGCAGACTACATTGAGCGTATGCTGCGATCTTCTGAAAAAGTTTACGCATAATGAAAAAATAACATTAAAAAGTCCAAGTTCTTGGTAACACAAGAGACTGAGTGTAAACGATGCACATTATCAGGAGAATGAGATAGGTATCCAACAATCCTCAAGCAGCTTTCTCACCATACAGAAGTGAACTTACAAGTTAGTGTAAGGTTATGTACTGAACTAAATGGAATAAAAGAATTTCTTTGTTCAGGGAAATTGGGAGACTTTCCTGAGTGCAAAGCTTTTTACACTGCATATGCACTAAAGAGATGACATATTGAAGAACTGAAAATATTATTAAAACCTCCGCTGACAGTACCAACCCAGAGACTATTTTGAGAAAGCCTCCTAAAAAAAAATCATGCTTGGGCAGGTTCCATGCAAAGAGAGAAGCTTGGGAGATGCTTTACAATGTGATAATGACAAATGCATCTGTCAACTTGAACAGGCATAAGGAACTTTCTCAGATGCGATTAATTGGTGATGATAGATGTCTGCTTTGCGTGCTGACAGTTGGAGAAGTAAGCTGGCCCAGACAATAGGTTCTAGAGAATCCATCACACTCAGAATAGGACAAAGTGCAAATCCCCACTGCAATGATTTCCACTTAAATAGAAAAAACAATGCCTCAGTAGGAAATAAAAACAGAAATGTGAAATTACATGTTCAGGGACCTACAGCAAGACAGTGCTGTGCAGAGCCAAGAACAGAGATAGCAATTGCTGGCTTCTAGACCATTTTCCTTTCTGCTGATCCCTACACCTTTTTGATGATCGTGGGTCAACAACTCAAAAGTCAGAGATGTTCCTTAAGGCAAAGATGTTCTTGTGTTTTGTTTTTTTCATCCACACATCCATCACTATGTTTTTGGCTGGTAAAATGTCACAGATGTCTCCAAAGCAGAGTCAAACACCAGTGCACAAATAAGAGAATTATCTGAATGAAGGCATCACATTACTACTGCTTTTTGTTTATAGCCACAGTGATCAGCAGATTGTTTCAACAAAATCTATAGTTCTGTGCCTTCTAGCCATGCATTTTAATCACTGTGGCCTAGAAATACTAGTGTACATCCAACTTTTAAACCCAGCTAGAGTGTCTTCAGTGCACTGCTGAAACATTTAAGCAACTCACTGCCAGAAGCTTGAAGAAGCCTGCCATTGGTTCATGCAGTGCAGTTCTTCAACACAGGATGGATGGTTCATGTTTATGCACCTGTTTATTACCTGTGGAAAATTTGGTCTTCATAGTGCAGTGGACACAGTAACAAACCCACGCTGCTCAATTTTTTCACCTGATGCCTAAAGTAATTGTGTACTCAGTCATGCCCCTATAAAGTTAGGAACTTGTATTTCCTTTGATGTTGGGGTTATTGCATAAGATAAGGGGGTTTATAGACATCTGAAAATGCATTCATGGGATTCTCCTTTGAAGGAGTATTATTTTTAATGTAATCACTAATTTGGGA